TTTTTTCAGATGAGATTCCAGTTGCATAACTCTACCGAGGCGAGCCCAACACCAGCAGCAACAAACAGAAGTCAGCAGTACTTTTTTATTTCCTGAATTTAAAGGCCAGACTCAGAACCGCCGGCGATGGGCGATGCACCCGTGCGACTGGAGGGGTGGCGGGCATACGAACGCGCCATGGTGCAACGTAACAGGGCGACCCTCCCTGCAGGGCGTACCCGTCCACCACACGAGGTTTTTTTTCCCTCGTGCATGCTACCAGATCTGCAAGGTGGACAACCATTCAAGCAGTCACAAGTGCGGTTTGTGCATTTATAAATACTCCAGCTACCATTTTTTTGGTCGGGGAAAGCATGGCCAGTAAAGACAGCTCAGTCAATCCGAACAAGCAACAGCATGCAGACGCTGGTAGATCTCAAGATAGTGAAAAATGGAGCGACTACCAATTAAGCTTGTATCAGTGAGGCCGATGAATAAAATGCAATTCACGAAGGGTGTTTTCGTAAACTCATGGCGGGCGCATTATCGACGCGTGTAGTTACGGTTATGGAGCGCCGTCGTTGGCCATTGTATTACGTTGCCGTGCATAGGTGGGGCCCCATAATCTGCGTCGCGAACAGCAGTTACGCTAAGGAGTCGAGATGAGCGACAGCTCAACGTTTCGGGTAATGGAGGGAATGGTCGAGGGGGGCACAACCAAGAGTAGGAGTTGGAAGTGCGCTATCGAATTGGGTGGTGATTGCAGTTTGACAGCTGATGACCACCGACGATCGTTGGGTTAGTCTATTATGTGTTGCCGAGGCATTATGGTTAGCTAAGTAGGTGGCTAGGTAGCCACCGTAGGTTACGTCGACTACAGTTGTGATGTTTACTGAAGGTAGCAAACATAAACGGCCTCGAATAAGTATGAGTTTGACGATAAATAGCCAAGTAAAATAACTTCGAGTACAGCTGTGAGTATAACAGGCTGCCAGATTAGGCTATCACCTATAATTGAGTCCTTGTTTTTACCGGTCGGCATATATATTGGATTAATGTTTACTGTAGGTAGCGAAGATTAGCGGCATCGCGTATGAATTGGGGATGAAAGACCGTCAGCTTTATACTCAGCGTTGCACATTGACACAGGTCGTGCAATTACAATAAGCAACCAAGGTAGGCGATATCATCTGCAGTTACGAGTATGACGGGCAGCCGTTGGTCGTTAAGATGTCACGCATAGTTGGAACCTGGTTTCTATCGGCCCGCATAGATACTGGCTTGGTGGTTACTGTAGGTAGCAGGCAGGTACGGCAGTGAACACCGGTGTTTAACACTGATTTCATGCTCTCCATGATGATATAAGTAGCAGACATAAGCGAGAGCGCGCATATTTATGGGTATGACGGGTCATCGTTGACAGTTAAATCAGGACGCTTCGCATAGCTGAGGCCTACTAAACAGCGTCGCATATAGGCACTGGCCTAGCAGTTTCAATCAGTAGTCAAGTTACGCGATATCGCGTACAGTTTTGAGTATTAGGTCCATCGTTCACCATTAGATTAGGTATGCATGCACAAGGACGCTGACTCAACAGGTACGATCAATAGCCAAGTTAGATGACTTCGAGTACAGTTGTGAGTATAACAGGCTGTCAGCTGTGGCTATCACGCATAGGTGAGGCCTTATTTTTACCGGTCGGCATACATATTGCACTGATGTTTACTGTAGCTAGCGAAGACAAGTGGCATCGCGTATAACTAAGGGTATAAAAGACCGTCATTGACCGTCGGATTATGTTACTGAGCATAGGTGCAGTCTCATTATCAACGTTGCACATAAAC